ATTAAATTTTTATGCGTCGTGTCCTAAATTCTTCTACCTAGCTTAAAAATTTATTCACATAACATTAACACTTAATATCCTACATAACAAATATTTTTCAGAAAACAGGAAGGTATTTTTCAGGAAAGCTTGTTCAAAAATTAGGAGAAGCAGAAGTAGAAGTAGACCAGATCCCTTTTCTGTACATGGAGCTGCCTAGATGAGCATCTGATCGATTGCGAGTGGTGGACAAGAAGACTTGTCCATCAATTACCCAGTATAATCAAATTATTCTCCAATTTTGATCTGAGGAGAGAATTCATCTAGCATCACAAGTGTCAGGGAGGAAAGGCAAAGACAATCTACAAATCCGATCTGGTCACAAACTCAGATAAAAAGAGACTTCTCTCTACCAGGATGAATAAAGAAAACCAAATTTAAGTCTATAAATTAGAGCAGAAATAGGAGAAAGAAACATAATCTGGAAGACTCCAAAGGAGATCATTCCCTAGAACTAATTCTATGTGCCACTCAATGTTTTAAATTGTAGATCATCAATAAAATACACAACTTCAAACAAATGGTAATGTGAAACTTACAAATAAGCCTAAAGAGACTTAATAGAGCTGAAATATATTGAGAAAAAAAATGTTTTAAAAACTAATTCTAGAAAAAAAAATCTCTGGAGTTAACCTATTGTATGGTTGCGTTCTTTTAAAAAACAGATAGTAACCGCACAATATAAACAATGTCAGGATATATAGAAAGACACAAATCCTCCTCATTTACTTTACAAAGCTCACATAATCTGGGCACTAAAAACACACGAACCGTACACACACCCTCTCACACTCACAAATTTCTATTGCCACTGACACAGTAAATGACAAAGAGTAATAACACAGAGGCAAACTCTTAAATAAAATTCAAATATGTATGAAAAGCATAATCCATCATGATAAAGTAGGATTTACTCCAGGCACATAAGGATTGTTGTAGCGCTGATACCCAATAATTGGCAAAGAACAGTAAAATTAAAACCCTAGCCCTGCATATGAAGAGTGGGTAAATAAGGTCCCTCCTGGCCTGTTTCAGAGACACTTAGGGTCTCAACGATTTTCATTTCCAAAGGTTTCTTCGGAGAAGACAGAAGCTGCTTAAAGACAAAACTACCTCTTGTTTTTTTGGAAAAACCTGAGTTCATTGCGGTGAAGATGAGGACTTCTGAGAGAGAGGAGTGTCCTTGAGGGCAGAGAAAGAAGAGCACATAGGTTGCTTTACATTGGGTAGAGGCAGATGTCAACTGGGGAGTGATAGTGAGACCCCTGGACCCCTCGGTGTGCTTCCCCAGGAAGAAGCTGGAGCTCAGGGTTGAGGGGGGTTGCATAGGGAGGCTGGGCCCTCAGCAAGGGGCTCTCACATCATGATTCCCATGTGTGAAAAGTGAAACAAGAGCTGCAGAGTCATGAAGAAACCATGCCAACCGGGACCCTCAAAAGGTCTAGACTGGGTTGATGACAAACGAGAACTGTTCACCAATGTATTGCCATTGCATAAACACTTGCAATCCTTCCCCAGGCCTGGAGTGGGGAAGCGAGAGCCATGAGAGACATGCACAATCCATTAAGAATCAAATTGATTAAAAAAAAAGAATCAAATTGATTAATTTCCTTACAAATATTTATTATATTCCAGGGGTTAGAGATTCAGCAGGGACAAAAAGATGAATACCTAGCCCTCTGGAGCTTACAGTCTAAATTGAGGAGCTAGCCATAAACAATTATACAATAAAACAGTAAGTTATATAGTATGCTAGAGGTTTCAAAAGGCTATGGAATAAAGAATAAAGACAATGTTTTAAAGGCTATTGTGTTCTAGTCAAGAGAATATGGTGGTAGCAGGAACCACCATAAGAGGTAAGAAAAGAGGTGATATGAAATGGTTAGATTCTGGATATATTTTGAAGGTAAAGCCAACATTATTTCCTGCAGACTGGATGTGGAGTGTGAGACTAAGAGTAGTAAAAAATTTCTCCAGAGTTTTCTACTGGAGCAACTGGAAGGATGGAATTGCCATCAATTGTTATCTGGAAAGGACTGAGGATAGAACAGATTGGGAGGAAGAGTTGGAGAGATCTGAACATTCTTTTCTTTACATACTGAGTTTCAGTTTTCTATTAAATATCCCAATAGAGGTATTGGGTAGGCATTGAATATACAAGCCAAGAGAGTGTCATTTACATTAACTTTCAGAAAGAGGGATGGAAGGAGGGAGGTAGGGAGGGAGGAAGGAAGGAAAGGAAAACGAAGAAAAAGGAGAGAAAACAAAGAGAGCAAGGAGGGAAGAAAGGAGAAGTGGGAGAGAGGAATAGATGTGCTTTTTACACAGTAAGTTTCTGAACCAAAATTCAAACCCACTACATCATCATCGATGACACAACAGTGCAGCGTTCTAAGGCTTGTACGTAACCTCTCCGGCAGATGTTGGGAGCCGTCAGGGAGATTTCAGAGAGAAAGCAAGAATTAAACTAAGCTTTGAGGCGTGTATTTGAGCTCACAAGGCTGACAAGAAAGAGCAAAGCTAAGAAGATCAGGAATGCAATATACGTGAAACTTCGGGCCAGATAGGTAGGTAACCCAGGAGTGGGAAGACTGCACAGAAAGTTGGAAGAGTAAGCTGGGTCAGTGTGTGAAGGCTCTTGTAGAATTGCTAACGAATTCAACTTTCTTTGGAATATATTTGCGTGATTGCAACTGAGAACAGAATCCAAAAAGCCATGACACTGGAAAATTTGTTCTTAGCAGGTGGAACAGAATGATGCTGCACTTGACAGCCTGAGTGAGCACAGATAGACTAGGGACTTGCTACAAAATACTGCACATTTACTGTAAATTGAGCAGTCTAGATCTAGTGTCATCAGAGGAAAAGTATGCCCAGGACAGAAAAGAGACACTCCTCTAGACAAATCTGCTAATAATTTAACCCCTGTCCTAGGGAAGAGCAATGATGAGATTACCCCTGGACTGTGCTTTAGTCCTGCCTATAATTCTTTGTATTTACTCTATATGTCCATGTTTAACTTTTTTTAAAGATTTTATTTATTCATTCATGAGAGGCACAGAGAGAGAGAGAGGCAGAGACACAGGCAGAGGGAGAAGCAGGCTCCATGCAGGGAGCCCGATGTGGGACTCGATTCTGAGACCTTGGGATCACACGCTGAGCCTAAGGCAGACGCTCAACTGCTGAGCCACCCAGGCGCCCCTATATGTCTAATTTAATTGATAGGAAAATATTAATGTTTATTTTCCCCTTTTTAAAGATTTATTTGTTTATTTTACAGAGAGAGAGAGAAGAGAGAGAAAGAGAGCTGGGGTGGGGTGAGGAGTGAGGGGTAAGGAAAGAGAATCTTTAAGCAAAGTCCATGCAGATCATGGAGCCCGAAGTAGGGCTCAATCTCACGACCCTGAGATCACAACACCAGCCAAAACCAAAAGGTGGACCCTTAACCAACTGCATCACCTAGGCCCCCCCAAAAGTTTATTTTCTTAGTGCACATTTAGTTCTTCTCAACTAAATCTTTTACTTTTTCTTCTTCTTTTTAATCAACAGTTTTCATTAAAAACCCTTTTGGTTATTTTTAAAGGTGCTTGAACCAGAAAAAAAAAATCAGCGGATGCCTACATTCAAAATAAACTGTTAAATAGACCAATTAAGCTCCTATTGAAGAGACAATTTACATCTCAGACATGCATGACTTTTCTGGATATTCCCTCTTTAAACACACAGGTCCTAATAGGGTGGGACACCTCTCAGCTTGCCAACTATTTACTTTGCCCTGAACTTTAGAAGATTCAAACAACCAGATCCATTTCCCTTGTGGTATGAAAATGGGATTGGGATTCATTTGCCCTTCCGTGTTGACCACATGCTTCCCAATTGCAAATCCCACGTGAAGCCATGATCAAGGCCATGGAGGTCAGATGCAAGGTCCAAGGACATACAGGGCACCTTCTAGGAGAAGCGTGAATGCATACGGCCTGGGTTTTGCAGTGCTCCCTGGGACTGCTGCTCACTGGTGCATTCAGAACATTGGAATGCTCCGCATTCCACTTTTTAATCCAAGCCCAGAAATCTTTCCCAAATGGCCTCAATATTGCTCTCACTCTTGGACCTGAGCATTTTCAATCTTCAACTAAATGTTTCAAATAATCTTCCCCTGTACTTTGACCCAGTCTTCTATTCCCACTTAAAAACCTGGACCCCGGAGGGCACCTGGGTGGCTCAGCCAGTTAAGCACCCAACTCTTGATTTCAGCTCAGGTCATGATCTCAGGGTGGTGGGATGGAGCCCCACATCGGGCTTCACACTCAGCAGGGAATCTGCTTGAGATTCTCTCCCTCTGTCCCTCCCACCCTCAAATAAATAAACAAATCTTTAAAAAGAAAAGACCTGGATGTGGCAATACCGTTTTTTCCTTCGTGGAGCTAATTAGGGAATATTTTTAGGCGAAACAGAGTCATTAAAACATATAAAGATTAGATAGATGGCAAATAAACATTTAGAATAAAACAATAAAATGAAATATCATGTTGCCCATTTGTAGGTTTAGTTTTAGGCATCGCACAAGGTGATTAATTTCAGTAAAGTCTTATAAAAGTCCTGAGTGATTCACGCCTCCAGGCGTAAACCATCTTCAGAGAATCCAGAACCATGAAGTTGAGAGATTCTCCTTTTCTGGGCATTAGATACTTCTGGATTTAACCCAAAGCTTACACTGAGTCATCAGAGATCTGCATTTTCTTTCAAAAGAAATCAGCCAAATTATTTTTACTTCGGGACTCTGGTATGGGGCATGAATGTGAGGGAGACAAATCTTTTTCTTTTGTTTTCCACTTCATCATGAACATTCAGTGCTATATATTCCCTCCCACAACAAAGGCTAAAAGTTTAACCGAAGAGACCTAGTCATAAATTCATACCATCAACTCAAAGTTTAATTATGTAAGTTTATGGTTTTTCCAGACCCAGCCTCAACTACAATTTGTCTTTTGATACCCTATGATCCATTTTATGTCCTGTAATGAAGATACATTCTTTTATCTTCCCTTTCTTGGGAAGCCTCACTTCCACTCCTATTTCCATCTTCTTTTGGGAAACACTGGTCCCCCACCACACCACAGATGCAGGTGAGAACTACGAACCATGACCATTCATCGGCAGGTCAGAGGTACATGCCACCTGCCCCGGTATTTCCTGAAGCTTCTACAAATTGGAACATACGGAAAAGAGACAAACGATCCTTCTCTGGGTCCAGGCTTCTGGTTGAGTCTGAGATCCTAGTGATCTTGGAGAGGAGATCTGTAGAAAAACATTTTGAAAGGAGTAGAAATGAAAGCTAGAAGAGAGACTTGAAAATCTCCGCACCCCTGTTTCCAGTGACCCCAGGGACCAGCTAGGCCCTCTGCCATTCCCTTTGGCCTAAATTCTTTCAGGTTGCATTTCTGTCACTTGTAGGATGAAAAGGGCCTTAAGGAACACAGCCCCTCTCCCTGATTAACACAATCCCTCCATTAAGGGTAGAACAAAAAGGTGAAATCTCAGTCACATCCATTTCTCATTTGATGAGCAAATCTGGCAAAAAGTGTATTCGTTCTAGGAGAATCCGAGCCACCGGCCAACCGAAATTGAGAGCAAGAGGTGGAAGGAAGAAATGTGGATCCACTCCTCTGGTGCCATCACAGGGGCAACATGACACCCAGTGGCTACCCTGTGGGCCCCATAGGCAGACCTTCACACGCTGAAGCCCTTCCTTGCATTCCTGGCTCCTGGATCCCGATGAGTTCACCAGGGTGACCTCACTTTGGAGAGCATTCAAATGAAAGGAAGTGCAGTGTAGGTGAGTCAAGGGCAGAGGCGAGACTCCCTCCTCTCAAGTCCAGTTTCCAGGTGGAGGAAGGCAAGGAGCGAAAAGATTCCAAAACCAGCTAATTTTTTTAGGCTGGTAACCAATGACTGGGCTCCCTGTGGAAGATGAGCCTTGAGGCCCCGAGGCCAACTCCACAAACAGCTCAGCCACTCCCCCACAGCGCTCATATTTTCACGCTGCAATAACAGCCACTCCTTTCTCTGGTTTGGGTCCAGAGCACAATCCCTCCCTTCTCTAATACCAGCCTCTCTGTAGTGAGCTCATGTCCTCCCTCTCCTCTCTCTCTTCCTCTCCCTCTGACTCACAGTGCTCAAAGCTTCAAGAAACAAAAACCTGTTGGATCAGCCAGGCTAGAATCATCAACTTCAAATGGGCCAACCCTTCTGTGAAAGGGAATCTTACTTTCATTGTTAGCACCAAGGCTCTAAGTTACTTAACTTGGTCGTGAAAAGTCGGGAACCTGACTTGTTCTTTAATGGCAAAAACAATGATGCTATAGGTCTTGAAAAGGAAGAGAAATAGACTGTTGGGTAAAAACAAAGTAACTCTTGCCATTTCGACATTTTAAAAGAAACGTCATTCATGTAGTTTTGAAATTGGATCACGAGGACATGGTCCCTTTACCTTGATCCCAGTTTTTTGACGTGGTTTCTTGACTAAGGTGTAAACTCTTTCAAGGAAGCAAAATGCAAAAAAGGAAGATTCATCGGTCGAGGACTCGAGTACAACTTGACCACACTGATCTTTATATATGAAGCACCAAGCATGGTGTCCAAATATTTTGATTTTTAAAAATAAATATTTATAGAATGTATAAATAGAGTGATTTGCCAGTAGAGATCATAGAGTGATTTGCCAGTAGAGATCATAGAGTGATTTGCCAGTAGAGAACTAAGAATCAGAATAAAGATTGGTCACCAAATATTTTAGAAGTAAGGGAGTCGTGATTACCCACATCAGGAAACAATTGGCTAAATCTTTCTCAGAATTTTTTATGAAAATCTGGATTTTTAATCTCCTGTGTAGGAAAAAAAATGATTTTTGCCTTAGGTATCAGGAAAAATAGAAAATATGTGGAGAAGGGGGAGAGGGTGTGTCTCCTTCATTTCCAAGCACTATCCTTAAAATCAGGTTGTCATTTTATTGCCTGCCTCTCCCAGACTCTGGCCAATAGAATCAAGCAATTCTTTTTTTTTTTTTTTGAATCAAGCAATTCTTGACAAAGACCAAGATTAAACTCATTTTGTTTCCAACCTAATGGTGTCTTTTGAAGCTTTGGTACATATTTCTTATGATAAATATTCTTAGTTTTGTGCAAGGGAGCAGAGAAAAAAGAATTTGTTGGAGGGAAAAAATAAATCCTGGTTCTAATCCTGCACTAATCATCAGGCAGTCTATAAAACAAGGTTTAATCAAATACATTAAATATAGCAATATTTTTCAACATCATTGTCCTAACTGGCTGGTGAGCTTTGTGGATGGTTTCAAGTGGTTTGGCTAGATTAGCTTTCAATGACATGTAATGAATACTCACATGGATTTCTTTGCCCCCACCCCTTTCTCCCTTTGGGGCGGGGAAACATATTCAACCTTTCAGACATTTAACTCTCTATGAACTATCTCCATACTCCACCAAAAGAATAATGACCAGGAAACATAATCACATGGCTAAATTCTGTCAGTATTTTGCTGGATTCTTGGGAAAATCATTCCCACTAACTTGGTATTGAACAAAAAAAGATTCCAAGAGAAAAGTTCGTGGTTCACAGCATATCCTGAGCACCTGAATAAAGATGTAGAACTACACTGTATCAGCCAGTTTACTAAGTGTTGGACTTTCTTATATTATGAAATGAAAGCCTCTTTAACTATCTTTAGCTCTTACTTTATAATGTATTGACATGGTCTTTTCTGAGAGGGCTCACTTATAACAATACTGCTTGTGAAAAAAAAAGAGAGAAAGATAAAAAAATCAAGATTGAGAATCAGAGGTGTTCATGTAATTAACGGAGATTGGGTAGGGAGTCAATAATGGCAGAGATGGGATTTTAAATCAAGTCTCTCTGATCTGAAAATCTGCAAGTTATTTTGCTGTGTTGTCTCTCATCAGATAACATGGATGAAATATGTATGCAAGATCTCTAAGTGTTTTTTTAACTCTTCTGACACACTTTTTGTAAGACTTGTGAGCATTTCCACAGCCAGTGTTTGGTGTCGCATTAAGAACACAGTGCAACTCCAGGAGAACCCAAGCAAATGAGATTCCAATTTGTCTTGGGTCATTCAGCTCTCAATTCTCCATATCAGTCTAAAGTGGCAAAAAGCCTGACAATTCTTTTCTATTCACTTCTGGAATGTGTTTTTGTATTTTGAGAACGAGTGCTTTCCTTGTTCCAGTAATTCACACCAACCCAAATGTTTTCAATGAAGCCAGGCTGTGAAAGAATGCAAAAAGAAGCAAAGAAACTCCCTGTGATTGCTCCTGACGCATCCCTGCTCACTCCATTTCACAAACAGCTGGCCTCAACATAAAGCACCATCCCAAATTTAGTATAAAATTTATTTTAGGGAGTCTTTCATGTCTTATCATAGTCTAGCTGTATAACAGTATGGGCTTTTAATTTCCTTTTCTAAAGTATTACACTATTCAAAAATTAAATCGAAATGATTCTTCAGAATCCCCTGGTCTCTTTTTTTATTTGATGAAGCTAGGAGTTCGCATCCACTCATCAAAAGTGGGGAAAGCAGAATGGGAAATGAATGCAACCTCCATTTATATACAGCATCACAACACAAGTTGTGTCTTCTAAGTCAGCTGAAAGGGGTGCCATCTTCGTGAGCACGAAAAATGCCAACTGCTTTCAAATTTCCTGATAAAGGTTTTCCATATGTGATTGCCTTTTGAAGAGAAAGAGATGGAGAGCACTCCAATCCCAAGAAACGTAGTAACTTAAAATATTTGCATATAACATACTTTCTAAGAAGTCATAAAGGTTAACACGGAACAGTCTACATCAATGAAGAGGAACAAACTATTGATAAAACAGTAACGCAGGGGAATCTCACAGACATTGTGTTAAGTGGAAGAAACCAAGGACAAAGAGTATATACTGTATGATCCTGTTTATATGAACCCATGCAAATAACTCGAAACAGTGGTTTTCATGGTGTAGGGGCAGGGAGGAGTACTGACTAGGAAAGGACAGGAGCTTCTGGGTGCCAGAAGTATCTTGTATTCAACCTGGGTGATGGTTATGTGGGAATTAATATGTATTATGTACATAATAAGATATATTTTATAATATAATTATGTAATAAGATATATTTTATACAAATATTTCATATATATATGGAAAGTCATTGGGCTGTGTGCTTAAGATCAGTGTTAAGTTCTTCCTCAATGTATTTATATTTATAGTTCAATAACAATGTTTTTTTAAAATTTTATTTATTTATTCCTGAGAGACACAGAGAGAGAGAGAGAGGCAGAGACACAGGCAGAGGGAGAAGCAGGCTCCATGCAGGGAGCCCGACGTGGGACTCGATCCCAGGTCTCCAGGATCACGCCCTAGACTGAAGGCGGCACTAAACCACTGAGCCACCCGGGCCGCCCACAATGTTATTTTTTTTAAGTATAGCCCAGCAACATATCTGAAAGAAAAGTTAAATTCACATCTTGAACATTACTGATGATTTGGTTTTTCTGCAGCCCAGACTTTATTCAATGGTACTTACCATAATTCCTTATCTACAGTTATGAAAACCAAAAAGCTATAAAAACCAAGGTTTTCCAACTGACCTGAATTGATATGAAGTTATTTAACACCTCTATTTATTCCACATTCCACCTAGTGCAAATATCCATATGCCTCGTTGTGGAAATGTTTGATTATACAATGCTACCCACACCCCTATGGCGATGTTACACGATATAAGTACATGCAAGAATGTTCTAAATTTCTAAATGCTCATGAACCCAGTGGTTTCAGATAGGATATTGTGAAGCTTATGTATTTGAAGCTGTCTTTGGAAAGGTTTAACTAGCACACCAGACCTGTGACTTTGGATACTGTTGCTTAAGGTGAGGCTAAATTTATTTAAGTAACCTGTGGGCTAAAATAAATGAATAAATTAAATAAATAAATAAATAAAAAGTGGTTCACAGCAGGAATTGGAAAAGTGGCATAGGAGTGACTGCAGTTTAGGAAATATCTTTCCAGCATGTTCACAAAGATTTCAACATGCCCATACAGAAGACCAAATCGTCTACCTAAGACAAAAGATGAGGACATTGGCTTTCTTTGTACCTTCCCAGCACCAAGCAGGAACTTGCACGTAGCAGCGCTCAACAAGGGGTTGCTGGGTTGAACTGAACTTCCAACACCCCTCATGCTTTGACTTCTGTTACATACCATCCCTGAAAAGGAAAAGAGAACAGTTTGAAAAATAAAGCTGAAGACCTAGCACTTTGGTTTTTGTGGTTGATTGTAAGAAAATGTAAACCCACATCTTGGTTTCTACCTTTTAACTTTAGAGCACGTCTCTTATCTGAAGCCCTCAAAGACCCAAGTAAATCACTAAATCCCTACTGTTTATTTTGTCCTTCCAAGAATAGAAATCTTGCAAACCAACCACATGAAATTCACCACTGACTCTAGGAAAAGATTCGCGATTAGCTTTTTTTTTTTTCTGACTCTACTTTGCACTGTAACTTCTGATCGGCTGCTTTCGTATTTCTTCCCTTTATTCCTCTATGTTTTCCCCATGGCAAAGAACTCATCGTCTGTATTATGCCCACATGTATTCCGGAAGCACTGAAAATGTTTGCCTGGTGCTTCTGTATCAGTTTCGGGACCATCATAAATCAGCAGCCTGTGGACTGAGGTGCTCAGACTGAAATCGTGCCTTTGAAAACTGCGTAGCATCACTCTCCACCAGCAGCTGCAGCCTTTTATTAATGGCTGAGGAGACTTTCACACCTCTTTTTAAATCCAGTGCATTTGAAGTAATAAAACAGGGAGCAGTTTATAGGCAGGAAATATTAAAATATTTAATTGCTTTTTTTCTTGGCAACAGGCAGACAGCCTTAAGCTTTGCGAGCCACATGCAGAAAGGACACCTGCCCATGCTTGAATGGACATGGAAGAGGGGATTGCTAAATTGGATACATCTGTGACCAAAATGCCTTTAAACCCACATCAAGCCCATTTTTATTATTAGTTCTAGCCGTTTCCCATCAACTACTTTTCATTTTCTTTTTCTTTTTCCTTCTTCTTGTCTAATTACAACAAAACGCGGAAGAGCATCAATTAGTTTTGTGCTCAAGATAATCATTTTAGATTCCCTAATCTATCTTGAACACAAACAGTGCACAGATTATACTTGAAAAGTTTTCCCATTGTCCAGTCCTAGAGTTTATAATCTAGAGCTATGTAGATTATAAATCCTTCTCAGAGAAAATGGGATTTAAATGTTGAAGTACAAATAGGGTGGATATACCTTTTGATAAGTTGGTTCATATGGTGGAATAAGGCAGCCTGAGATCAAGTTCTCACTCTGCCAATTGCTAGTTGAGTGCCTTTGGATGGATTACGTAGCTTCTCTAAGCTTCTGTTCATCATCTGTAAAAATGGAGAGAGTCAACAGTGCCTCTTACATGAAGAGGTTGTAGGCGTTATAGGCGTTAAACGAGATGTCAAGCATTCGGTACCATGTTTGGCACTCTGGAAGGCTCTAGTGTTAGCTATTCCTTTATTACAATTCAGTTTACAAAGAATTGTTCCCAAGGCAAAAGAAGATATGGCTAAAACCTTCCGTTAACAACTGAGAGTAGTACAAGAGTACTTACCAAATTTTGTGTTGGGTTTCTGTTGCTACCTAACAATTTTCACAAACTTAACTACTTAAAGCAACATTCATTTATTAGATCACAATTATACATTCAGAAGTCCAGCAAGGCACAGTTGGGGTCTCTTCTCCAGCTACCACAAGGCTGAAATTAAGGTGTGGGTTGCATTGAGTTCTTGTCTAAAAACTCTAAGGAATAATCTGCCTTGGTGTTCACATGACTGTGGGCTGAATTCATTTCCTTGCAGTTGCAGTTCTAAGACCGCGTTTCCTTGTTGGCTGTCAGCACGGGGCCTCTCTTATCTCTTAGAGGTCATTCTCAGTTTCTTCCCTTGAAAATCCCTCCTTCTTCTAAGTCAGCAACAGAGAGTGTCCTTCATGTTGAACCCCTCTAACGCTTTCATTCTCTCTGACTTCTGCAACCAGCCACAGGCGACTCGGCTTTTAAAGAGGTCCTGGCAATCAGATTAGTCTAACCCAGATAATCTCCTTATTTTAAGGTAAACTGATAAACAACCTTAATATCATCTGCAAAAATCCCTTTGGCCATGTACTCTAACGTCATCATGAAGTAATACCAGGGAACAGAAATCATGGGGGCCAAAATACTAAAAATGTAGTATTAGGAGTTGAGATGAAAAACCATATTTCATATTTTAAGGCAGAGCTGGGAAAGAATGTAGCAGCCTCCTAACCACTCTATCTGGTCTCCATGGGAGAATATGGGTGGAGGAGTGGTTTTGTGGGGGAAGATAATTGTTGCCAAATGGCTTCTGGGATAGCCAGTAATTTACAGAGACTATTTTAATTCTTCCTAGCCCACCTGTATGATTCAGCTACATTAAGCAAGAAAAGAAGCCCGGTTTGTTGAGTAGAAAGTTAAGAAAGAAAAAAATATAGAAATGGCACCAGTCACTTGTTCCCTCAGTTATCCACCACTGGTCCCAAGGTAGAAGATTTTCATCATCTGTTATTTCTTATTCAGTCTAGTCCAGGATGATGGAGGAGGATAATAATGACCTGTCTCTGTCAGTTGAGCTCTTCCTCCCAGATATCTGTATGGCTCACCTCTGCCCTCCATTCATTCAGGTCTCTACATAAATATCATCTAATTACGGGGGACTTGCTGGCCACCCTTAATAAAAAATAAAATCTCCCATCCACACTTCAGTACTCCTTGGTCTGCTTACTTTTTCTACACAGTACTTTTTGACAGAAAGTGTGTGTGTGTGTGCGTGCGTGTGTGTGTGTGTGTGTGTGTGATTGTCTTTTAAGTAGAATATAAGCACCAGAAAATCAAGGCCTTTGTTTATTTACCGCTGAATCAATCTCTTTCTCTCTCTCTCTCTCTCTCTCTCTCTCTCTCTCTCTCTCTTAGTGTTTGGCACATAGTAGGCACCAGTAAATATTTGTTAAGTAGATGAATAAATGTAGGGATGAAGGTCAGTTGCTCAGAAGATTGATCTTGGCTGGAGAAAATTATGTGGGAAGCATCAGAATAAAAATATTCAAATCATAAGAGTAGAATTTTCTCAGAGGAGAATACAGAGTTAGAAAAGGTTCCTGTGGAATTCCAATGTTTACCAACCTCTGTATGATGATATAGAGAAGAATCTGCAACGGAGTGTGTGTGTGGGGGGGGTGGTAAGGGATGCAGAAGAAGCAGCCACAGAGTGGAAGTCAAAGAAGCCAAGTAGGAGGTGGAGGATCATAAAAGAGGGGTCAGCCATGCCAAGTGCAACTAAGAAGACAAGTAGGACAAGTCCTAGAAAGTCTTCATCGGTTTTAGCAACCAAGATGCCATTTGTGGCCCTTATTGAGAGCAGATTTGGGGGAGGCGTGAATATTAGAGGCAAATTTCCATGGACTTGAGAATGAAACTCAAGAGAGAAGGAATAGGACAAAAGCAGTCAAGAGAAATACCTAGAGGGATGCTGGGCTGAGGAGAGTTGTTTTTCTTAAGATGGTGGAGGCTTGAACAAATTTAAAAGTTGGTGGGAAAGATACAGTAGAGAGGAAGAAGTTTAAGATAAGAGAGAGCAAAAAAAAAAAATCAATACCAGGAGATCTCTGAAGTACAGGAAGGGAGGCTTCCTGAAAAAGGAAGCCTCCTCTGACCTCTCCCTGCCCCTCTTCCTCTCCATCCTCCACACTACAGCCTGAGACAAGTGTGCAAAGGTCTATTACTGAGCTTATCCAGTGGAATTGTAACTCTGTTTCTGTCACTGTAATGCCAGTAGGCCATGAGCTCCATTAGGAGAGGGACAGCTTCTGATTCATCTTTTTATCCCCAAGAGCTGGCACAAAATCTAGTACATAATAAATACTCGATACCTGATGAAAGAATGAGTGAATGAATGAATAGACAGAGAAGTAGATTTATGGACTGATGGACTCAACAAATATATATTGAATGCCTACTGTGTGCCAGGCTCCACTCTGGACTCTGGTAATTCAGCAGTGAAAAACACAAAGCCCATGAACAAGTGAATTGAGGGAAGGACATAAAAATGTGGGGGGGGGGGGATAAAAACAGACTTCAAGCAAATGAAACATGAACGAAGCACTTCACAAATTCAAGAATGTTGACACTTTAGGAAGGACACCATGTCTCTTCACAGACAAATTTTTTCACATGTGAGGAGATAATTAACTAACCACTTATAAGGATTTATTAGAGTCTTACTTCTTCATTTCCTGATTTTTCATAATACTTGTAATCTATGAATCACTTGCTTGAATTTGTCTTTCTCCATAAACTTTCAAAAGTGGATTGCACTGGTCTTCCAGTTCTCTACCAAAAGAAAGACATAGAACAGAGCCAAGCTTTCATGGCACAATGAGGTTAAAAGTCTTGACTGTGGCTTATCCCAGGCACCTTCCCATTCAAGACCCCCATCATCATTACGATCTCCTACAGAGAGTAAATGGAAAAGATGGGAATGGAGGTGGGGAAAGAGCCATATGGACATTCCCTTGCAGGACAAAGACCACTAAAGGCAGGGTTGAAGGAAATATTGCTCAAACATTCCCAAATAAGAATGCCTAGATCTGAGTCATTAGTACACATCCAGGAAGACCCTGAGCCTCATAGATAGGAGGGGCTGAGGCATGAACTCACGACAATACATCTGTAATGCCAAGAAGCCATTCTAGGTTACTTATGCAAGCAACACAAATTATCCAAACATATAAGAGACATGGCAGTCACTGTGGAGCGCTTAAGAATCCACATTCTAAAGGCTCTTAGATATCAGGTTTCAAACACTTGTTTACTTTTTACCCATTTCCTTTACTGTGGGGCCTGTTTTCAAAATTAAGAATTGAATCCTTTGTTGGCTCTTTTTCACTCTGAAACCCAGTTTCTTATCTTGGTTTGGCCCTTTAAGTTTGTCCAATTATCTCTTCCCCCAGAGATAGTGGCAATTGAATGATCACTTCTACCTAGATTGCTCCCAATTAATTGGTCATGAGCTCAGACCTTCATTGCAATCTTCTAGCCGGATATTTGGATGTTTCTCCAATACCACAAAGCAAACATGCTGAAAACCAAACTCATCCTATTCCTCAACAAAACCAGTTCTTCCACCCAACTTCCCAGCTTCTATTAATGGTGCCGCTGTTCTAGGAGGTAAATCATCATTGACCCCTTCCTCTTTTTATCTTTCCCTTCTATCCATTCATAAATTCCATGGAAAGGTTCTCTAAGACCTATTCTCAGTGTATCATCCCCATTCATCCTCCTCAACATTTCATCCTTTTATTCAGTTTCCACTGTAGCTCAACCTCTTGTTTCTCCTCACCTGGACTACTGCAAACACTATTACTGGGGAAGAACAATTTCACAACCACATACATTTGGATTTAAATCTCCATTTCATCTCTTTCTAATTATACGATCTTGCAAGATTTCCCCAAACCCTTGAATCCTCAATTTACTCCATAAAATGGCCATTCATTTCAGGAGTATATAAAATAAGTTAAAGTGCCTAGTACATAACCGCTCAAAGGATCAAAGACTCTTCCAGCAAGAAAATGTTCTGATCATATCTTTTCTATACCCATAAACCTCAAATGACTTCTCTTTTTTCTACAAAAACAAGACTCAGCTACTTATGTGCCCTCTGCAATATCACCCAAGCTACTTTTCCAGCTTTCACCTTCCAAACTGGCCCTCTCGATCTTCCCCAAATAGATCCGTGTTTTTACTATGTTTATCTTTCCATCTGATATGATTTTCCCATGAATCCCTACCAGTCAAAATTTTACCTGTCCTTTAAAAGACAACTCAAATGCTGTCCTCTCCATGAGGTCTAATTCTGATATCAAAATATGTGTTCTGCTGGGCAAGCATCCAGGTCTTGATTTTGGCTCAGGTCATGATCTCAGGGTCGTGAGATCAAGCTCTGCATTGGGCCCTGCACTGGGTATAGAGTTTGCTTGAGATTCTCTCTCCCTGAAAAAAAAAAAAAAGATTCTCTCTCCCTCTCTTTTTGCCCCTCCCTTCATCTCTCTCTCTCTCTCTCTCTCTCTCTCTCTCTCTCTCAAAAAAAAAAAAATGTGTTCTGCTTTTGAATCCCCACCTCACTTCCTTAATATCTATATTAAGGAATTTATCCTATTCTGCTTTAAACTAGGCTTTTAAGCATCTTTGTTTTATTCTTAGCAGAAGACTGCAAACCGTCAAACTTTTTGTTTACCTCTAAAGCCTAGTACTTTTCGCTTCTTTGATACTCAGAAAATGAGCTGAATTGGTTTTAAGAACAAGTCCCTCGAAGAGTAGCATTTATCTGTTAGAATACAAATTCAACAAGGGCAATCATTTTTATCTATTTAATCAATGATCTATCCTGAGTACCCAGAACTATGCTTAAAACGTAGTGACTACCCAAAAACTATCTATCACATGATCATAATCCAAGATTATCCTTTGAGCCATGAAAAAAAATCCATTGTAATCCTTTTTTTTTTTTAAAGTTATGCCAATTAGAAACACTTAAACTCTGCAGAGTCTCATCATCCCCTCTCAGGAACATCATATCATGTATGATTGACAGGACCTGGATTACCAGGTGCCCATCCAGAGAGAACATGCAAAAGAAGAAAGCTTGGCCTACATGCCCTTGGGGGCCCTTGACCAAACAGGCTTCTTTACAGCTGCCTGATACGCTCCAATTGCCCAATATGCACCTTTCTATCTGGCTTAGACACCAGGTCTGCAATTTGGCAGGAGCATAAATTAAAACCCGAGAGAACAATCACAGGAACGCTGGCCTCTGAAGTCAAGGCCAGCCAGCAGTATGATTCAGGCCCTGATGGCGCCTCCCTCTGCTTCAGTCAGAATCATTTGCCAGCCCGGAGTCAGAAAAACACTGCTCCATTGCTGGCCAGGATCCCTAGGAAGGCCACAGTCTCCATTTTACTGTGACAAAGCCTTAAAGCTGTGCCTGTAGATCTAGCCTGTTAGCTCCCTGCTGTGGTAGTCTGAGCAGAAAGAGGGAGTGAGGAGAGCAAACCCTTCAACATCACACAGGCCCGGCTTCTGAGCGTTGGCTCCATCAATGACGAAGCAAAGCAGCTGTGGGCATAGCCTGAGCCTCCTGGGTTGCAGGTCCCTCATCTCAAAAATGATATCCACCTAACAGCATTGTTGGGAGAATGGTAATATATGTAAAGCGCTAAGCCCTAGTGATTGCTATTGGTGTTATTACTATTATTAGATACGAGAATCAAAGAGAGTAACCACAGAGATTAAGTCAGCACTCCTAACACAGTCCTGAGAATTCGGCTTTACTCATTCTCTAGAATAGGTCTCATTCATCCCTCTCATAATGACAGATTTCTAAGAAAGTAATCAAGTGTCAATACCAAGTTCTCTAACACGTACTAATAAAGAAAACTTGCAAATGAATTTCAGGAACTTACCTCTGGCAGAAAGTTCATTGGATGAGGGTAACCTCATCATCGTCCCTTATCCTCTGAACCTCAAGACTCTTAATGAACAGTCCCCTGAAGGTCCCTGTGCCTCTAAGTCACTGCCACCCACAGGATTGCCCCTCTTCTCAGTAGTTTGCCCTCATCACACCCTACCACCACCACCACCACCGCCACCACCACCACCCTCCCTCAATCATCCTGATGGCTCCCTAGCACTTACTCAAAGCCATCCCGCCCTCATTCCTGTGGCTACCAGGCCCCAGTGAGAGGAAGGGCAGAAGAGACACTTATTCACCTGTTACCCACTGCTCTCACTCATTAGATAAGTCATGTCCTTGGTCTAATTGCTTCGGAAATACATGCTTTCCACAGTTTATCTTGGATCCTATATCTTATATAGTTTATAAGTACATAAGTCACACAGATCACTAAATGTTACATCCCCTGCTCACCCCCACTTCCCTGTGGGGCATTGTGGATGACAGAGTCACTTGCTGAATTGCCTGATTTTCTTCTGAGCTTCTTGTCTGAATCTGAATCTATGATACCAAGACTGACACTAATTCTGGAATATTCTCCCCATTGGCTCTGAAAGGCAGCATCTTAACTTTTCAACTCCTATAGCCTGAAGGTTAGTGGAGCTGGCCTCCGGAACCTAAAACTGAAATGGAAGAGTTGATTGACAATTAGCTTACCCACGATGTCCTATAGTATCCACCTTATTTTGCTCATTCCCAGCTCTTATGGAAATTCCTCAAAATTGCCGAATTTCTTTCTTTTTTTTTTAAGATTTTTAAAATGTATTTATTCATGAGAGACACACACAGAGAGAGGTAAGACATAGGCAGAGGGAGATGCACGCTTCCTATCGGGAGCACAATGCAGGACTCGATCCCAGGACTCTGGGATTACAACCTGAGCTGAAGGCAGATCTCAACCACTTAGCCACCCAGGTGTCTCAAAATTGCCGAGTTTTGATCAGTCATTTTGTCTCCTCCTAGCCACAATCTGCCAGAGCCCACATCATTTCTCAACTGTTTATTGTAAGGACTTTTTACTCCAGAATCATCCTCCAGGCCAGTCCCACTTCAACTCCGCTCTTCCTAAATCATTACATTAGGTACAATCGCTTAATGGCTCCTATTGCCGCATAGAATTCAAACTCCTCTGACCAGTAAATGCAGCCCTCTGTGAGCGCATCTTCTGTGTCCTCATCTCGCTGTGTCCTAAACTCACTACCAAAAACCCTGCTGCTTCTCGTTTTCATGCCTCTTACCTGAAGGTCTCTGGAAAAGGAGCACACTTCCTCACCCACCTTCCAGCCTGGAAAGCTCTGAGTCTTCTTCTAAGAATCTTCTGGGGGTGCCTGGGTGGCTCAGTAGGCTAAGCATCTGCCTTTGGCTCAGGTCATTATCTCAGGGCCCTTGGATCGAACCCCTCATGGGGGCTCCCTGCTTAGCCAGGAGCCTGCTTCTCTCTCTCTCTGCCCCCCACTGCTATCATGCACATGCACTCTCCCTCTCTCAAATAAATAAATAAAAATCTTGAAAAAAGAAAAAAAAAGAATCCTCTCAAACCTGACCTCAACAGCTAGAGATGCCATCTTCTTCCTTTCTGCCTCTACTCTTCCTCATTCTCTTATTTGAAGTATTGTATCTGTCTCACTAAATGGGTTTTGTTTGTTTCTGCCTCAACTACTAGCCTATGAGCTCTTTGATAGGAGCCATGTCTCATTTATTTTTGGCTCCTTAGTGCCGTGCAAAATGACCAGCACACAATAAGTGCTCTATGAACATGTATTGTGTCAACCTTATCTGATTCTTTTAGGGAACAAGAATCTGTCCTAAAGTGACATCAACTTGAAAAGACCTATATTGAAAGACTTCTTCCTACATTAATTTGTTGGAGTATCACTTCATATTCCAGGAACATCTGAAATATCTTTTCTTTTCTCTTTTTTTTTAATATTTTTTTTTCTTAGAAAGTCATCTCATTTTGCCAGTTTGAACAAGCCTGGAAACTTTGGTGTTTGTTTTGAAACTGGAAAGTGCTTCAAGAGGCACTTTGTGCACTTGGACAAGGTTGAGAAGAGACCCACAAAGATGATTAAAGGCTAGAAAACAGACTATGAGAACTGGAAGGGAGAGCTAAAGGCAATTTAGTAATCGACGTCTTGCATGGGAAAGGCTGTTATTACCAAGGACAGTGACGAGCCCGTGGTGTTCATACCCTCAAAGGGGAGAGCAACAGGAAAGTACTGAGCTGCAGCACAGAAGACTTGGGTTAGATAGGGAGGAACTTTCTGGAAGAAAACATGCTTAATACTGAAGGATCCAACAGAAATGACAGCTTAGTCTTTCCTTCCGCAGACATATAGAAACATAGGAAATGTTTCCAATGGTCTGGAATGTTCCACATGCAATACTACCTAAAAAGCAGGGATGGAACTACAATTGGCCCTAGAACAGCAGTTGGGGCACCGACACCCCCATGTAGTCATAAATCCACACATAACTTTTGACTCTGGCAAAAACTAACTACTAGTAGCCTACTATTGACTTGTAGCCATACTGATCATGTATACAGTCGATTGGCACATGCTTCATAGGCTATATGTATTATATCCTGTATTCTTACAATAAAATAAGCTACAGAAAAGAAAATGTTATTAAGGAAATTATAAGGGAGGGAAAATCCATTTACAGTACTGGACGGTATTTATCAAAATAAGTCCATGTCCAAGTAGACCTGAGCAGTACAAATGCATGTTGTTCAAGGGTCAACTGCATACAGCTTCAAAGGGCAGTACACATATGGTACATAGATGTTTGGGACCCAGAGCACACTTGGTCCGACAGAGGCCTTCTAACTCTAAAATTTTGGAGAAAGTATCTCAGAGGAACTGAACTTAACTGTCACATTTCTTTCACTAAGTATTTACAAAGCCCCTTCTCCAGGCCGGCCTGTGTGAGGTACCATCATAATGGCTAAAGCACAGTTTATTCCAATGGAGGAGAGAGCTGATTGTCTCACATCCCTCACAGGACTGCCAGGTCTCAGCTCTGAGCTTTCAGTCTGTCTCACGCCCACATGTGCACACATATACACGACACAAAAACCACCAAAGCTCCTTTCATTTCCTCTGAGTGATACCTGCCTCAGCTGCTCTAACCTCCAAGCCTTTGTATGTGCTATTTCCTCATTCCACTTCCTTACTAGGAAACCCCTTCTTGTCCTTAAAGACATAGTTCAGGTGTTAATGTTTTGTCAAAGCTGCTACTCCTCTCGCCCCTACTCTAGATCATGATACTGTTTTAAGACTTCTAGCTGCAAGCATTAAAAACTGAGTCAAAGAAAACTATAATAAAAAAGAACTTTGGAGGCACAGCATGGGCTCAATGGTAGGTGGAGGTACAGGTTTGGGAATGCCCAAGGTCCAAGGAAATTAAAGGCAAGAAGCAGAGGGTACATTTGCCTCATAGCCAAGAATCAGAGGAAATATGCCCTCCATCCTAGTGTCAAAGTCTCCAAAGAGGGTCTGATTGGCCAACCTTAGTTTCCATGACTGGCCTGGCCATCCTGTGGCTACATTAGAAATGATCTCCCCACTAATACACAATGGAGGAAAGATAATTCCCCCCAAATAAATTGAAATACAGTGGAAGAGAAAAAAATGCATGCTGAACACCTCTCTCTCACATTCATCCCATTGCAGTTCAGTCTTTAGTTTTCCTGCTCGTGTTCTTAGTAAGACTGTGTATCTTTCATCCTTATACACTGTTGGGTACAGAGTCAGTGATCAATAACCTCTTAGAGACTAGACTCCTGATCCATATTTGTTGATGATATGTGAAAGTCAAGACAGTATTATTCATCCTTGTGCCTACCAAATCCAAGCTCAGTGTCTTTTTTCATTATGTCATAACATTAGCCGGGATAATGTGGCCACCTTTAACCCATTTCTTCACCTAAAGAGCAGATTGTTTGTTTTCCTAATAAATTGAGATTGCTACGGTAAGTCTTGGTTAAGGCTGACAAAAAAAAATTCTCAAAATATTCACAGAATTGAATATTTTGCTGTGCAAATAGAGATTTAAGCATCCTTTTATCTTTGAGTCAAACTAGGCATCCATCAAACTTCTCCATCAATGCTACCCACAGACCTTAATTTTTCCCTACAGGAAAATAAAATAACAAGGAAAATAATACCATAAAGTTGAAAATAAGTTTTAAACATAATGAGTGATCATAATAAAACTGTGAGTGAGTTTTTCCATGCTCACCATGAGGCAGGGAAGAGTGATTGGCTTGGTGAATCCATTTCATTACCACCAGCTTTCATTAAAAATGTCTATGTCCATTCAAGCCTGTGACTTTGCATGGTTTGTTTAATCCAATTTAAATTTCATTCTGAATCATACTTGGCCCTGTATTATTGCTTTCAGTGAGATGAATAAATACACACCTTGTTCAAAAGAAAAAGTCTTTGGGAATTCATTGGCAACATTTCAAAAGTTTGGGATTTAGATCTTATAAATGACTAAGAGGTAAATTGATCTTTCCTTGGAGAAATTAGCTTTGGACTCCAGACTTACACATCTACGTAGAAATAGGCTCAGGAATCAGGCTCTGGGTCCTTCTTCAATAACTATTTCACATAAGGCTTTTATATTATCCACATTTTCCATATTTCTAAAAAAAAAGACAAGTCGTATAACAAGAATTTTGTGCATTCAATTGGCTGGATTACATTCACCTATCTGGGGAACTAAAGTTTGCTAGTATTAAGCAGTAAAATATTAGCAAGAGTGTTACACAGGTTCCATTTTTGAAGGTCTTGTGAAATCAAATATATTTTAAATTCAAATTTAAGATCAAAGTAGTATTTGGTAGAAATCTGTGAGTGTTTATACAAGGATTGCCCCCTTTCCATCCCATAGAATTCCCCTTAAAAAATCATTTAAAAGGCAGGAACATTAGGACTCATTGGCCAAAATCCGGATCGACAGGTTAGCTGCCCTCTGGATATGGAGGACT